AAATAAAACAGTGATTTATAAAACACAATGAAAACATGGTGATGATTTCTGTGATTCATTCATTCTATTTTAGGCACGATAAAAGAATAGAAGTGATTCTATATTCTTTGTGACATGTCATTATTATGATTAACAAATGCTTAAACATTCTGAATCATGAAATGACCCATCATGGCCTAAAATAAGAGTTCAGCAGTTCCTGCCAGTTCTCAGGCCTGTGCGAGACCTGCTTTGAGGCAGTAATTCCTGTTTCTTCACTCGAGGTGACCCCTACACAGCTATCACTGCATTAAAATGAGGATTGTTGAGCAACTTGTCAAGTTGTTCTTTAGTATTGATATAAATAAATAGTTAATCTTTTAGCACATTAGGATGAAATTATCAGTGGCAGGATAGAAGGTGTGAGGAAAATAAGAAGGAAACGAAGAACAGGAAATAGACACGTGATGATTATGACTTTTTTCCCTCGTAATATGACGACTTTAATCTCGTAATATTACGACTTTAATTTTTAATCTCGTAATATTAGGACTTTATTCTCATAAAATTACAACTTTAATCTCGTAATAATAATTTTAAAAAATCTTGTCGTGTGGCCCTATGACTCCGTCGTACTTTACAATGACTAAACGTAATAAATTACATGCAACAGAAGGAGTGGAACAGCATCAAGAAAAGAAAACATTTAGCCATAAAAAGCAGAATAAATATAAATTGTTTAAGAAAACCTTAGCATTATCTATCGGATAACAGACCTGAAYGGGGGTGGTGAGTTAGCTAGCTTACCTTTCCGATACAGGTGGGGGGAAAATAAACTCCAAAAACGTAAACACAAAATACAAAATTGTTAGGATGTGCAGGTCGATATATTATGAAAATGATCTGTTGTTACATTAAAGTAACTTCAAACAGTAAGTTTTTCGATGTAAAAACAATTCTTAGTAAAGTTTTATTTCCATGTGCCTTCGTGTGATTGGTCTTCTACACTGCTTCAGGCAATCCCATTGGATGTCTACAGTCGGTGGGTTGACCCGTCTACGAATGATCCGATGTGATTGGAAGTCTACGGTCAGCTTCCTGAAGCTGATTGGCTGATCCTGGGTCCAGATCGTGATCCGGATCTTCACCAAAATTTATGGTGTGTTCCTTTGGCTAATACCCAGTTGTGGTGAAAATTTCATGAAAATCCGTCCATAAGTTTTTGACTAATTTTGTCCACAGACATACGAGACCGAAAACATTACCTCCTTCCCTTGGCGGAGGTACCTAACAACAACACAGTGACAACAATCTGCTCTCCAATGAAATGATGACCAAAGTTCCACTTCACCTGGTTTTAGTGAGGGACCATGATGATCACAGCTGATTAATGTTTGGAGAGCGACTGCCACAGTGGGTTGGTTACTTCCACTCTCCAGTTGCTCTGTGGTGTGGTATAAACCAGAGTCTATGGTCTGAAAGAAACTGGCTCTGAACACACCAAGTCCCTGTGATCTACTGGTTAAACATCTCCAAAACCCAGGCTTGGAAACAAMGCAGATACTGAGTGCAGGAACTTCAGTCTGGATGAACTAAAGAGGAACAGAGCTGCTTTCACAGACAATACCACATGTTCTGGTCATTTGGATTAGTAGAAGGGTGGCTGACGCTGTGCTTGATGAAAATCAGGATTTAATTATAGTAGTGTGTCAACCTTAATGTGAACACACAGAATGGTACACAGGTGGTAGTGGAAAGCCTTACTGCTATCCCATGAGGATAGCTGCTTCTAAAGCTTCATTTGACCACCCTTACAAGCCCCTCCTCCAAAAACATCTGCATTTTTAAAATAYGCTCACAGTAAACATGGTGAGAATAGCAGCAAGCTTAGCTTTGTTGCTCCAGGTCCATGTGAAGAACACATTGAAGACACAAGTCTCTTTCATTAAACAGTTCAGCTCAACAGCAACACTAACCAGCTCTCCTCTGTGCTCCCTCAGCGCTTAAAGGCATCCATGATTAGTTGTAACATTACTTTATTTGATAAACATATACTTTAACTGTAAAAATAAAGACTGTAAAAATACTGTTGGCTGTTTAGTTTTGTAAATTTTTTTAAAATATATTTTAA